TGTTAAACAGTCTCCGGTTACGTAATTTCTTTGTTCCATACTGTATATATATATATACATTCCCATCTCTATGTAAACTACATGGACAGATGACAGACAATAGGGAGTACTATTATATTTATATAATTAAGTAAAAAATGTTTTGATCAGATTTGTGAAATATGAATAAGTGCTTATTTATTCTAGGATTTTGTAAAAATTTCTACTGGTTTGAGGATGCTGATATAACAATGTTATTTATTTCTTTTTATGTAGACAATTATAAATAATAATAGAGAACTTGGTACAGATAGTAATATAACCCTAAAGCACTAACTAGAATCACCATATACTTCTGGTGATGCAGTAGCCAAATAGTCATCATCTTTGTCACTCAGGCAGCTGCCATAATTTTGACCTGAGGGCAAAAGGTGTGTTTTAACACATTCCCTTGATCCAATTGTGTAGCATCTATCATTGACAAATGAATGCATAATCACAAGTATAGTGTTGCATGGGAAAAGGTCAGATATAAATGTTGACATTCAGAACGTAGTAATATAAAGTTTAGTCAGGTAATGTCAATTATTAGGTTACAGTAAACTAGGAATATTTTACGTGTGGTTATTAAAACCTGTGATTCATTTATGATTGAGATAACTGTTAATATATTTTTGTTTATAAATTGTGTACCTAACTAAACGAAAAGCGTATTACAGAATTTGTGATCAAACTATTAATATCAGATTGTAAACTCAAATAGATTCACATTCTGTAGTAAATTGTAGCTACACTACTTAGATGAGTTCCTGTGTTTAACACTTTATAGGTTAAGTACCACAAACCACGAAGTTTAATTATTTACAGGGTTTAATTAACTAGTAACAAGTCTGTGCAAGACCCAGAAGGTTAATCACACTTTATAAGAATAATGTGCAAAGACTAATGAATCTGTGTGTAGTCATGTGTCGCCAAAGTTGCCAGGTATGGCTCCTTGTGTGACGTAATAAACACAGGAATATTGGGTTCACGGTGAATTTTCGACAGTTCAGTTGTCTACTCTATTACACGGATAGACTGGTGGCAGGAGAAACATTACAGTCTTTTGCAAGAGAAGATATATTATTATGCAGGTATTATTGAACTATGTGCAGCCAAATATAACATAATATTGCGAAGAAAGGAGTCTTCAGTTGGAGCGGGAAAACTCGCACAGCAGAGCATTTATTCATGAAATAGCACGCTCCAAGTCTATCTGGAGCGACGCTGTTCTCACTGTTCATCGGAAAGTCTTGTTATCACGGAAACTACGATGTTCGTAACAATATATTATCACGTCCATCAAACTGAACACGTTCTACACCCGAGGAATTAGTTCAAGGGCAACAAGTGAACTGGAATATTATTCTTACAAAGTGTGGTTAACTCTAGTAAAACAGAGTAAGTAGGAAAATTCGTTGCAGTCAGATTCCGTGTGACTTTCGTAATTGACGTGTAATGAATAATTCACCTACACGGAATAGCTAAGCCTATGATGTATAGTTAAACATAGGATAACTAAGCCTCTGGTGTATAGTTTAACATAGGACACATACAGCTAGTTTTGTAACTACAAATCTATAATTCGTGTAGCATATTAACGCCACACACAGTTAGTTTTGTAACTACAGATATATAACTTCTGTACCATGGTATTTCTACACACAGTTAGTATTGTAACTGCAGTGGTATATCTCATGTATCATGCTAACGCTACACACAGCTGGTTTTGTAAATACAAATATATAACTTGTATAACATGCTAAATCCCACACAGTTGGTTTTATAACTACAAATGTATAACTTATGTAATATGCTAACGCCACACACAGTTTTGTAACCACAGATGTATAACTCGTGTATCATGGTAACTCTACACACAGTTAGTATTGTAACTACTGGTATATAACTTATGTATCGTGCTAACGCTACACATAGTTTTGTAACCACAGATGTATAACTCGTGTATCATGGTAACTCTACACACAGTTAGTATTGTAACTACTGGTATATAACTTATGTATCGTGCTAACGCTACACACATTTAGTTTTCACCAATAGAGTTATATGTGTTGAGAGGTTTATATAAAGTTATCTATAGTTTATTGTACATAATGATCTATAGTTTTTACCATATCGTAATATTACTCATAGTTCAGTTTTGCAGTGATGCATATTCTGCGTAGCAGGACGTTACATACAGTTTAATTTGTAACAGTTGACATATAATTTGTAAACATGCAACATTTTATATACAGAGTTTTTATAACCACTTTCATGATTCATCCAAATCTTATACGTTATCAAGTATCCAAAAATAACAAATAATTGAAAAACAATGAAAACTGAAACCCAATCACCTGTGTTAATTTTTTATAAATATCTTAGTGGTGATTGGTTTCGAATAGGTCAAGCACAAACTGGAATTGTTCTTAGCGATTGGTTGTTTTTTATTCAGTTTTAAGTTTATCACTTTTGTATTATTACGACATAAAAGAAACATAATCTAAGCTTGTTCAACCTCGGTAAGGTTACTATCAAATGTTTTGGATGTTAAAACTGGTTTTGACCGAACATGCCCGGTTATACACTGATACAACTGGTGTTCCAGAGTCTATTTTTTTCTTCATGACATAATGTTCTCTCCAGTCTGTTGAAGATTAGTCATTTGTGACGGTTTTGCAGTCACGAAATTCATCTTATCTATCTATCAACACTTAACACCTCGTTTTAATGGAACTTTTAAGCAAAGTAGGTACGGGAACTTTAACGTATATAAGATCATACGTGAAAACCAAATATTTGTACCTAATATTTTATTTTGTTTTCAATATAGCTTGCTGACGATGGAATATGTAATTCCGAAATGTTCGACACTTAAACGTTTGTTACCGTCACAAACATGTCAAATGTTGTTGCTGTTGCCGTCGTACTAATATTTTTCATTAAACTGAATCTGTTACCAAATATCTTTGTATAAATCATAACTGTGCATAAACACTCAAGTTTCAGATAAAGAAATGTATGCAGATATCTTGTGCCAGCAAATGTTGTTTATAATAGTAGTTTTTTCTACGTTGGATCTACCCGCGAGTTACTCATCATAAACCAAACGATGCGAGAAAGAAGTAGGTTGTTAATTTGCTGTTCAGTTTCAACGGAGCATGCTCAGTGTGACCCTCTCTAATAACCTGTGGTGTAAATATGTCTTTAGGGCATTTTCTCGAAGGCTGAAGGTGATTGATATTCCAGAGGCATTCCGTGCTTTCTCCTCCATCATTAGTCCTCGTAAACTTGTTTTGTGTTTACTTTGTGCTGACGTTTCGCTCTATGAAAGAGAGAGAAAAAACTTCCCTTCTGACGGTTCGCTGTTGTAACAGAACCTGTACCAATTTTATATTTCTTTGAAATCCGGTTTTAGAGACTTATATAACTCACTCCCACTTAATTATCGGATTTACTGTAAAGACATGCAGCAACAATCTATAAAATTAGTCCTATAATGAAAAGGTTAAGTCTGTACCACCATTCAACGATTGCACCTAAACTTGAATACGTGAATGAAAACATCTTAAATACAATATATACGAATGACTGTTTTGCAAAACAAACAATCAGAAATATTAATGCATCACACCTCTGACCTGACATCATAAAGTGGCATGTAATTTTATTTTTACTCCTCTTCAACCTGCTTCCGAATGTATTTCACGTAACGGAAGCGTTGGGTACAAGCAAATAATTATCATGCGCTTAACAATCAACATCTGTCGTACTCATAGCTGAAATAGCTGCTAATTTTCCCCTTCTATACGACTGTTAAGAATATATCTTCATTTAGGTATCTTCAGCTAGTTTTTCAAAATTTCCATGCAGTTTCTGTATGTAGTCAATCCCATTCTTGTTGATCGAATGTCGTAAGGTTATAAACAGAGGTAAAGGTTACATACTGGGGCTTATGTTTCTAGCTAGCATGTACTCGCTTCTATATGGTCTTTCTACTAATATAGCTTATTCAAACAACTAATACAGAAACGTTTATAAACAGGCTCTGGGTTGTATATTATAATTATTCCATGCACTACATTTCCCAAATCTTCGTTCGTATAGTTTTAACTACCTGGTTTCTTTCTCTCTATAGTATTAATGTTGATTTTCAGTCTATTGTTTGTTTTTTAATGTGTGCAAGTTTAACACATGTCCCAAAAGAAAGTTAAGATTTTCTCAGAATAAAGCTCTGTGACTTGGTCTTCCCTCTCTATGGTATCTGATTTTATCCAGTAAAATCTATTGACGAATGTCGAGAGAGAATGACCAGTCACGTGGTGATGCCTCCAGGACAAAGAAACCCAAGTTACCTTTAAGTTAACATGCAGGTTTCAAAACAGTTCTGGCTTGACTTTTGAAGTGTGTACTTTTCTTGAGCTTGCGATCGTAAGGAAGATAGCAGAGCTAGACGAATGCAAGTAATGTTGTTTTTGTCCTGTCTTTGTGTATTACTGTGTTCTTGTCTATTTTAGGTTGAAAATTATATTTGTCACTGTGTATTGCACATTGTGTCCAGTCTATTAGTTAATCCTATACTTAAACTCACAGGGCAGTAATTCAGCGTTGTTGTACAATAATCGTATCTTGTCGAACCTCCTGTTATTATCGGAGCGGACTTATGAAGCTCTATAGCATAACTAGATTCACCTGAGATTACCACATCATCCTTTCATTTGTAAAGTTTTTTCTTTCTCATATATATATATTATTTACTTTACGGTGAAATAAAAAGCACTAACTTACCAAATACAGTCTTAGATAAAAATTTCAATAATTGTGTATGAAACAACAAGTTACAGGACTAGAAGACTGTTTATCTATCTTTTTATATGTATTTGTTTTATGATATTAGTTGTAAAATATTAAATGGGCATATCAGTAAACTTAGTGATGTGAAGTTTTATATCCAAATGGTTTGTTTGTTTTGATTCAGCGCAAAACCTAGACAACTGATGCTGTGGCCACCGAGGGAATGAAATCCTGAATTTCCAAGTAAAATTTGTAGTAATTATCTGATGTACATAGAAGTCCTCATAGAGAAACATTTATGAATGACGTCCAAATTCCACTATTTGGTCAGACAAGAGTAGCCCAAGAACTAAGGGTGGGTGGGGTTCACTAGTTAGTTTCATATATAGTTTATCAGTTCAAAAGTATGGAAGATTATGAGCAGTTAGCTCTTGTGTAACTTTGTATGAAAATCTAAAACAAACAAAAAGGTATGATTAATAAAAAATGAAATTTTAACACTTTTTTATGGGAATTAGAAAACCTTTTGTCGGAATAAAAATATTAAGAACAGTTACTGATAAGTTAGAAAAATAAAAAGTGGCAAGATTAATCGTCTGCACTGTTAAAGTGGCAAGAATAAAAGTTTGTAATGTTAAAGTGGCAAGGTTAAAAGTCTGCACTGTTAAAGTGGCAAGATTAATCATCTGCACTGTTAAAGTGGCAATATTAAAAGTCTGTAATGTTAAAGTGGCAAGATTAAAAGTCTGTAATGTTAAAGTGGCAAGATTAATCGTCTGCACTGTTAAAGTGGCAAGATTAAATATCTTTACTGTTAAAGTGGCAAGATTAAAAGTGTGTGTGCTGTTAAAGTTGCAAGATTAAAAGTCTGTACTGTTAAAGTAGCAATATTAAAAGTCTGTACTGTTAAAGTGGCAAGATTAAAGTCTGCAATGTTAAAGTGGCAAGATTAAAAGTCTGTAATGTTAAAGTGGCAAGGTTAAAAGTCTGCACTGTTAAAGTGGTAAGATTAAAAGTCTGCACTGTTAAAGTGGCAAGATCAATCATCTGCACTGTTAAAGTGGCAAGATTAAAAGTCTGTAATGTTAAAGTGACAAGATTAAAAGTCTGCACTGTTAAAGTGGCAAGATTAAAAGTCTGTAATGTTAAAGTGACAAGATTAAAAGTCTGCACTGTTAAAGTGGCAAGATTAAAAGCTGTACTGTTAAAGTGGAAAGATTAAAAGTCTTTACTGTTAAAGTGGCAAGATTAAAAGTCTGTAATGTTAAAGTGGCAAGATTAAAAGTCTTTACTGTTAAAGACGCAAGATTAAAAGCCTGTGCTGTTAAGGTGGCAAGATTAAAAGCCTGTGCTGTTAAAGTGGTAAGATTGAAATACTATAAACTGGTGAAATGACAAGATCTAAAACCTATAATTACTGTTATCGTGGCACAATTGACTGTTTAGGGATAAATTATGATGTATTGCCTTTGTTATATATGCAGTATCATTTTCTTGCTTTGTCGCTAACTCCTTTCGAGATTTAAGATGATTCTTTTTCAGTAATGGCTTCTTTCTTACCACTTGCCCATACAGGCCAGCTTTGTGTAGGAATCGGGATATTGTAGATGTATGAACACTGACTCCCACTTCAGACACGGAACTTTGCAAGTTTTGTAACCACAGATGTATAACTCGTGTATCATGGTAACTCTATACACAGTTAGTATTGTAACTACTGGTACATAACTTATATATCGTTGGCTGTTGACTTCACAGTGGCATCCCTAACCAGCTTCTTGATTGCCCGGCTATTTAGTTTGGAAGGGCGGCCTAATCTGGGTAGTGAATGGGTGGTATGAAGCACATTCCACTTCTTAATGATGGACTTCACCATACTCAAAGGGATAATCAGCGACTTTTAAATTTTCTTGTAACCTTCTCTTGATTTGTGCTTCTCTTCCAGTTTCTCCCTCACTTGTCTGGAACGTTCCTTGGTCTTCATGGTTGGTTTGTCGTATCACTATGTGAGTTGTGGTTTGAACAGATGCGTTTACTCCGAAGTCAAGTTAAACCACTTTGATTATACACAGACAGAGACAATTACACTAATTCTGTGACCTTTCAAACTAATC